CACGAGCATGCGGGCTATCTTCGCAACCTACCAAGGTAAGGCGAGGGGTAGCTGTCTTTGCCTCAGCGAGCAGTACTCAGCGCAGCCAAAATGGCGCGATACTGACTGTCTTCCTGCCTCCTGACATCTGACAGAGAGGAGCGGAGAGAGCAAAGAAGCAACAAAAACAGCAAAGAAGAGAGCAGCAAGAGGGCGTCAAATCGACGGTGAAAGACCGTGGCCACCTGGCTAGCCGGCGGGACGCTGTGCACATATGGGGCCGCACGTGTGGCACGCTACGGGTGTGCCGCAAAGTCCGGCTGACTTCACGTGGACCCCTGACCGCAAGCCCGACTGGGCCGAGCGTGAGAGCTTCTTCTTGTCAGTATGCCGCTGCAAAGAGGGAAGCGTCAACACAAGGTTGGCACCCGTTCGAACTTCAAGTGCGTGCCAGGGCGGGCGGAGATGGACTCTCTCTCGCAAGCGGCCGCAGACAGCAATGCAAGCGCGGCGTCTGCAAGAGAAGACGCATATACTGAAGCTCAAGGTGCACGCTGTTGGATGAGTGGGGGGAGGGAGGCATGCTAAAAGGGGGAAAGGAAAAGGGATCCTCGCTCCTCGTCCTCGCACATCCTCACATACAGCACAGACGTGTTTGCACAGACGCAGCAGACTGCCTGGCGTATGCACCGAAATCTGCACACGGACTGAGGGCAGAAGATATTCGTGCTCAAGACAATTGCAGGGTGGCAAGGGGAGAGAGGGTGGCAAGGGGAGGGAGGGGGGGAGGGAGGGAGGGGCTCCCGGAGATCCCCGGAGGCTTCGGAGGCCTGTATGGAGCTTTCGGACCCCTCGTGGATGTGCACTCTGCCTCGGGGAGGGGGTGCCTCCTGGCTGCCGCCGGCAGTGCCTGGGTGCTTCGGCCTCGGGAGCCCTGGCAGATGGATCGCGGCCGCTCCTCTGGCCTGCCCGCGGGTCCCGAGGGCCGGATCTGGTTTCTCTGGCTCCCCCGCGGGCCCCGAGGCCGGATTTGGAGTCCAGCCTCGCCGCCGACGAGGTCCTTCGTCCTCTCCCCCCGCGCTCCCTTCCGTCCCTCCCTCTCCCCTTTCCCGCCCTCCCTCCCGGACGTCGCGTGGCCGGGTTGGGTGGTGCCGGGCCCGGGCTGGGTCGGGCGCGGAGCTCATCCAGGGACGAGCGGGCATCCGCAGCCTTTCGGGCTCGGGCTCTCATCCTCCCTCTGCCCTGGGGCCTGCCACGGACGCCGTGTGGTGGTGTGGGGTGGAGTCGAGATCGGGCGAGGATCCTGCCGGAGGGCCGCGTTCGCCCCCTCCCCAGGAGGGCCCCCTCTCTCTGTATGTGTATCATATGCGTTTACCTTCCCGGGTGTCGCGTGCCCATCTCCACTTGGAGGCCGCGGCGCTCGAGTCGGAGTTGGGCACGGCGGTGATTTTGGACCTCCTGCCCTCCCCCTCCCGCCCAGCCTTACGTCGGGCCAGTCCCTCTACAGGAGGAATATTCAAACATAGATGAACATATATATATATATATATATATATAGATATATATGGGGATTTGTTTTTGCTATGTGTTGTTCAGTCTTGAGTCTGTTTTGACTATTTTTCATTTCTCTTCGATAGCCGGCCTGTAGGGGGACAGGCCCGACCTAAGCCCAGCCTTTCTTTTGAGAGGGCACGCGTTCCCGTTTGCCGCAGCTGGGAGCACGGGCCCCACTCGGGCGGTGCGGAGTGCAAACCCACCTCGACTCGGCCGAGCACCTCGAGTTGGACGTGGATGCCTTGGATCAGGAGGGAAAAACACTTTTTGGTCGGCGGGGCGAGAGCGAACCTCTTCCGCTAAAAGCTAGGCGCGGGCTACGCACAGCTTTCATTAGGGAGACAGGGCACTGGCAGGCGGGGCCTCAGGCGGCCGGAGTGGGCGGGGCCCGGGGTGCAGGCGGTGCCGAAGAGCTTGCACAGGAAAAGGTACGCCGCGGACAGGAGGGAAAAAACACACAGACACAAGTAATCGTCGATTTCCGAGAAGATATGATATGGGAAGCGGGGGGGAAGACAAGAGCCCAGAAAATAGGGGAACATATGGGGGATCCTGTTACTTGTGTCTATTTCTTTGTGTGTCCCAGGGCCCTTTCATTGGATACGCGAAACATCGCCGCGACAATGGTCGTTGCTGGGCCGCTGTCGGAAGCCCTCTGGGCCCCGCAGCTCCTTGCTACAGGGGCCGGGCCCGCAGCCTCGACATGCCACGCGGCTGGGAGCACTTCCATCCGTCCATCCTCGTCCTCCTCCTCCCTCCCTCCCTCCCTCCCCTCCCCTCCCTCTTCCCTCCCTCCCTTCCCCCTCTCTGATGCATGTTTACTGCGGTGAGCCCTCCCTCGCCCGGTGCTTCGTATCTCCCCCACCCACCCCCCCTTCGTCGTATCTCCCTCCCCCCGCCCTCTTTCGAAGCCCTCGCTCGCCCCGTCCCCGCCGTCCCTCATCACTGCCCCCCCCCCCCTTCTTCCCTCCGGGCCCAGCGCTCCGTCCTCCTGTCCGTCCTCCTCCCCTCCGCCCTCCTCTCCCCCCTCGCCGTCCTCCGCCCCCGCTGCCACCCGCCCTCCCTCCGGCCTCCCTCCGTGCTCGGTGCTCCGCTCGTGCTCCTCCCTTCGTCCTTCCCCTCTCCCTCCATCCTCCGTCCCTCTATCCTCCCTCCCGCTGCTCTCCCGTCCCTCACCGCTCCTCTTCCCTGCATCCCTCTCTTCCCCCTCTTGTATTTAGCCAGTCCGTCCTTCCCATTCCATCGCCCCCCTCCCCCCCCACTCTCATCCTCCCTTCCTCCTGACTTCTGACGGGCGGCGAGATGCAGCTCATGATGTGTTTCGTCGGCTTATTCTGTGTGTCTGTGTTCCCTCCACCCTCTCCCTCCTTTCCTCCCTCCGGGTAGTCGCCCCGTTCGGTATTCGCTTCTCGGGCCCCTCGTTTGGCCCCTCGTCGTCACTCGGCGCCGAATCTGTTTTTCCCAACCATCCTGTGGTGTTGGGTCCTCGTTTTGAAGAGACGGTGCCCCGCGTCTCCTTCCTTCCTCCTCCCCCTCCTCCCTCCTCCCCCATCCTGGCTTTTGCTCTCCGCATGTCTCTGTTTCGGCACACCCCTCACACGTTTCGTGGCCCCATAGGGAGCTCCACCTAAGGTCCCAGTGGCGGAACTCGCATGGCGCCGCCGCCCCATTTTGGCACACCCCTCACACGTTTCGTGGCCCCATAGGGAGCTCCACCTAAGGTCCCAGTGGCGGAACTCGCATGGCGCCGCCGCCCCATTTTGGCACACCCCTCACACGTTTCGTGGCCCCATAGGGAGCTCCACCTAAGGTCCCAGTTGCGAAACTCGCATGGCGCCGCCGCCCCATTTTGGCACACCCCTCACACGTTTCGTGGCCCCATAGGGAGCTCCACCCCAGGTCCCGGTGGCGGAACTCGCATGGCGCCGCCGCCCCATTTTGGCACACCCCTCACACGTTTCGTGGCCCCATGGGAGCGCCACCTAGGTCCCAGTGGCGGAACTCGCATGGCGCCGCCGCCCCATTTTGGCACACCCCTCACACGTTTCGTGGCCCCATAGGGAGCTCCACCTAAGGTCCCAGTGGCGGAACTCGCATGGCGCCGCCGCCCCATTTTGGCACACCCCTCACACGTTTCGTGGCCCCATAGGGAGCTCCACCTAAGGTCCCAGTGGCGGAACTCGCATGGCGCCGCCGCCCCATTTTGGCACACCCCTCACACGTTTCGTGGCCCCATAGGGAGCTCCACCCAAGATCCCAGTGGCGCAGCCCGCATGCGGTACGCGCCCCATTTTGGCACACCCCTCACACGTTTCGTGGCCCCATAGGGAGCTCCACCCAAGATCCCAGTGGCGCAGCCCGCATGCGGTACGCGCCCCATTTTGGCACACCCCTCACACGTTTCGTGGCCCCATAGGGAGCTCCACCCAAGATCCCAGTGGCGCAGCCCGCATGCGGTACGCGCCCCATTTTGGCACACCCCTCACACGTTTCGTGGCCCCATAGGGAGCGCGGGCGAAGATGGTATTCACAATTGCGGTATTCACAACTGCATATGGTTGGGTCCTTCGTCAGGCTAATTTTTACCCCGTTGGGAGCCAGACGCCACCCCGCGCCCAAGTAAAACGGATTCCTGGCCGTGCTCTTGGCTCCCCCCCTCGCCCCGCAGGCGCTCTGCCCTCGCGTGGGTGGCGGTCGTCGACCGGCGCGGCCGGCTCCTGCTGGACGTCCACGTGCGCCCCGACGCCGAGGTGACCGACTGGAGGCCGGGGCCCCCGGGGCTCCGAGGGGACGCGGAGGCAGCCGCCACCGCAAGCCCATCGGCTTTCGCAGGCCTAGAGGTTGGCACCAACACCAATATCGGCGGTGTGCCTCCACCGAGGGAGGAGGATCCAGATCTCGGTGATGGCGGTAATAGTTCTGGCCTCCAAGGTGGCCGAGATATCGCCACCGACACCGAAGTCTAGGACCATCTCCCCCCTGTGGAAGCAGCCCCCTGCCTTGGTGCTGATGCCCATTCCCAGGCCTCCGAGGCCTGGCACCGCTCGGACGTGTGCATTTTTTTTTCTCGGCGAGAACCCTCGAGGACCATCCTGGACCATCGGGCACAAAAAAACACGCGCGCGAGATCGAGAAGAATGCACGGGAAAGGGACGTCCGAGCGACGGCAAGTCGGGAGGAGCCCGCCCCTGGGCGGTGGCGCGCCCGGGCGCCGTGCGGCACGGGGTGGCGCCTGGGCGCGCCGCCGCTCCCCCGCGGTGGGTTCTCGGCGGCGGCGGTGCTCTGCTTCTCCTGACGAGCGAACAGCACACGCCCATACTCCAGATTTCGTAACAAAGGGAGGGGGGTCTCATTTCGGGGGGGGTCTCTTCCAGGCTATCTTGGAGGGCCTGGGGGGGTCTGGGGACGATGTTTTGGAGGGTTCTCCCACGGGGGAGGTCTGAAATGGCTTGTCTTGGAGGGTCCAGACCCCCTCCCTTTTATTACGAGATCTGGAGTACCCAGAGGGAGGTCGGAGGGAGGAGGACTGGCTATGGGTATGGGTGCGAGTTGGCGGGCCCCTGGGGAGGCTCCCGTCCGAGCGGGGACCCCCCGTGCGACAACACGCACCCATGGCTCATTCCGTCCCCCCTATGGGCATGGGTACGTATTGATCGTTCGTCATCTCCTGGGAGAAAGAGGTCTGCACTGTGAAGTGCTCATCGTCCTTCATTCTCCCTCCGGCTCCCGTGGAGCCGCTCCCACGGTGCCCCTCATTTTTGGTGGGATCATTGTCTGCAGATGTCAAAACGGAAAAGTCCTCCTCCCTCAGCCTCATTTCGCCTCCTTTTTCTGCCAACTTGGCACGTTGAAGAGGCAGGTTGGTTCGAGGGGGGCGATTCGCTACTCAGGGGGCGGTAGAGGGGGAGGTTTGGGGACACTCTAATGCTGCCCCCCTCTTCAAATAGTCGGGAACCCACTTTCGGAAACACGTACCTTCTGTTGATCTCACTAGCATTAAGTCGGGCATGTCCCTCTACAGGAGGAAAGTTCAAAAATAGTAAAACAATAATATGAGGACGATTTTTGGAATATTGATTGATCATGTGTGAGTATGTTTTGAGGGTTTCTAATCTTGTTTGCCCAAAATCGGACTGTAGGGGAACATGCCCGACCTAACACTAGCAATATTTCAAGAGCAGGTCGTTTTTGTTCCCCGACCATCCTGCGGTGTTTGGGTCCTCGTTTTGAAGAGGCAGCGCACCGTGTCTTCTCCTCCCGCCCGCCTGCCCCTCCTCCCTCGCCCCTCCTCCCATCATCATCATCATCATCATCATCATCATCATCATCATCATCATCATCATCGTCATCGTCATCGTCATCATCATCATCACCACCACCACCACCATCACCATCATCATCATCACCATCATCATCATCACCATAACCATTACCACAATCTCCATCAGTAGCATCATCATCACCGTCATCACCATTACCATCATCCTTACCACCATCATCATCACCATCATCATCACCATCATCATCACCATCATCATCATCATCATCATCGTCAGCATCATCATCAGCAGCAACGGCATCATCATAATCACAGTCATCAACATCAGCATAATCAGCTTCATCATCATCCTCATCATCAGTATCATCGCAATCACAATCATCATCGTCATTATCATCATGGCCGTCATCGTCATCGTCAGCATCACCATCATCATCATCATCATCGTCATCCTCGCCATCATCACCATCATCATCACCATCATCATCATCCTGTCATCATCACCATCAGCATCATCATCGTCACCATCATCACCATCGTCAGCAGCATCAGCATCAGCATCGGCATTATGATATTCATAGTCATCAACATCAGCATAATCAGCTTCATCACCATCATCATCATCATCATCACCACCATCACCATCACCATCATCATCACCATCATCATCATCACCACCATCACCATTACCACAATCACCATCAGTAGCATCATCATCACCGTCATCACCATTACCATCATCCTTACCACCATCACCATCACCATCATCATCACCATCATCATCGTCAGCATCATCATCAGCAGCATCGGCATCATCATAATCACAGTTATCAACATCAGCATAATCAGCTTCATCATCATCCTCATCATCAGTATCATCGTCATCACAATCATCATCGTCATTATCATCATGGCCGTCATCATCATCGTCAGCACCATCATCATCATCATCATCATCGTCATCCTCGCCATCATCACCATCATCATCACCATCATCATCATCCTGTCATCATCACCATCAGCATCATCATCATCGTCACCATCATCATCATCATCATCGTCAGCAGCATCAGCATCAGCATCGGCATTATCATATTCATAGTCATCAACATCAGCATAATCAGCTTCATCATCATCATCATCCTCATCATCAGCCTCATCATCATCACAATCAGCATCGTCATCATCATGGCCGTCATCATCATCGTCAGCATCATCATCCTCGTTATCATCAGCATCGTCACCATCATCACCATCACCTTCACGATCATCATCCGATAATCATCATCATCAGCAGCATCATCGTCATCATCATCGTCAGCATCATCATTATCATCAGCATCGGCATCATCATAATCATAGTCATCAACATCAGCATAAGTATCTTCATCATCAGCCTCATCATCATCACAATCATCATCGTCATTATTATCGTGGCCGTCATCATCATCGTCAGCATCACCATTATCGTCATCATCGTCATCATCGTCATCGACATCATCATCACCATGATGGTGATCATCATCATCAGCATCAACATCATCATCGTCGTCGCCATCATCAGCATCATCATCATCGTCAAAATCACCTCCATCGCCATCAGCTTCGGCACACCCATCACACGTTCCATTGCCCCGTATGGAGCTCTTCCGAAGGCCCCACTGCCACCGCTTGCATGCGTCCGCCACACCCATGTCGGCACACCCCTCACACGTTTCGTGGCCCCATGGGGAACTCCTCCGAAGGCCCCAGTGCCACCGCCCGAATGCGTCCGCCACACTCATGTCGGCACGCCCCTCGCACGTTTCACGGCCCTCATATGGAGCTTCACCGAAGGTCTTGGTGGCACCTCCCGCATGCGTCCGCCACACCCATGTCAGCACACCCCTCACAAGTTCTGTGGCCCTATAGGGAGCTCCACGAATGTCCCAGTGGCGGTGTTCGCATGCGCACCCGCCAGAACCCAATTCGGCACACCTGACACGCTTCGTGGCCCTATAGGGAGCTTCACCGAAGGTCCTGGTGACACGGCCCGCATGCGTCAGCCACACCTATGTCGGCACACCCCTCACACGCGTCATAACCGCATATGGAGCTCTTCCGAAGGCCCCACTGCCACCGCCCGCATTTCTCCGCCACACCCATGTCAGCACACCCCTCACAAGTTTCGTCGCCCTATGGGGAGCTGCCCCAGTGTCACTGCCCGCATGCGTCCGCCACACCCATGTTGGCACACCCCATCATGTTTCGTGGCCACAAGGGAGCTCCACCGAAGGTCCCGGTGGCACCGCCCGCATGCGTCCGCCACACCCAATTCGGCACACCCCGCACACGTTACGCGGCCCTATAGGGAGCTCCACCGAAGGTCCCAGTGGTGGTGTTCGCATGCGCACCCGCCATACCCAATTCGGCGCACCCCTCACACGTTTCGTGGCCCCAAAGGGAGCTCCACCGAAGGGCCCAGTCGCTGTGACCACAGGCGTCCCCGCTATTCATTCCGGCACACCCTTCACACGTTTCGTAGCCCCACAGGGAGCTCCACCGAGGGCCCCAGATGCTGTGACCACATGCGCCCCCGCCACCCATGTCGGCACACTCCTTACACGTTTCGTGGCCCCATAGGGAGCTCCACCGAAGATCCCAGTGACTGTAACCACATACGTCCCCGCCACCCATGTCGGCACACCCCTCACACGTTTCGTGGCCCTCATAGGGAGCTCCACCGAAGAGGGTACGCACCACTGCGGTACTTACACCTGCATACGGTTGGGTGCTCCGCCAGGATAATTCTTCGTTGGCGGAGTGCTTGACGGAAACCGTTCTTGGCTCATGCCAGAGGGGCTGTTTTTTTTGCGTCGAAGGGTAACATCGATTTTCTGGTAAGCCTAGCAAAAGAGCAGCTCAGCGGCAACGCCAGGGCATTCTCACGCCGTGTGCACGGCGGTCCGACGGGGCCCGCGCGCGCACCAGGACATCTTAATATTTTATGGTGTAGGCTCTCCGTGGCGGGCTTTTCCCTGGTCATGCCGCTTGGAGAGAAGTATACCGCAACATGTGGTCGGACGCGCGTGTGGTACTCTTGCGTGTCGTTCTGCACCCCGCCGCTCAATACTAATACTCGGACAAAAAGCCACATAAACATAAATTTTTGGCGCTCCGCGCGGATTTCTTGGATCCGCGCCAGGGAGGGGGGTCCAGCGCGAATCCAAGAAATCCGCGCGGAGCGCCAAAAGTTTATGTTTACGTTTATGTGGTTTTCTTCTTCTGCAGTACTTGTATTTCTGGGCCCCACGGAGGACGGCCATCACTGGACTCGACGCCTCCAGCTTCGCGCCCGCGGCTGCGGCCGGCGAGCTGGACCCCGGTGCCGAAGCGTCAACGTGTGCTCATCATGAAATGTGTCCTCCCTGTGCCCCCCCCCCCTTCCTGGAGATGGATGGGGGGAAGCGCGCGCAAGCGCGACGGTGGCATGGTCAGGTGGCGTGCTCAATGTCAGAACTCGTACTCTTGAAGAGACCAGAAGCTGAACACAACAGAGGAAGAAAGTGGGGAGGGGGCGGTGCGGAGCCTCGCACATCAGGTCCTACCAGGCCTGTTGAAGTCTTTCCGCGCCCCCTCCACTTGTGCCTCCGAGGATCCCCGCAGAGGTTCCGGGAAGAGAGGCGCGCGCGGTGGGTCCTGCTCCCACGGCGCCATTCGCTGACGCAGCTTCTTAGCACGATGCGTCGTGCTGCCGCCCCGTGGGCCTCAATCCTGGCCCTCTGGGGGAGGAAAGGGGAAAGGGGGAAGGAGGAACGGGCGGAGCGAACGGGGGAGGAGGGGAAGGGGCCAAGGGCCAGGACAAGGCTTGCTTTCCTGGGGAGCCGAGCTGAAACTGTGCTACCATCTGCTCCTCGGGATCCTCCTCACCGGGAACAGAGGGGTCCAATTCAGCATCTGTCAAGCCTTCCTCGCTGTCAGGAGACTTAGATTGAGATTTCTCAGGATCCGTCTTCGCCTGTCGGCGCCTGGAGCCGCGGCCACACCCAGCGAAATCTGGGGCAAGAGCGGGGGGATTAGGGGCATCTCTCTCTCAGGGCAGCGTAGGAATCCATAAGGCCGTTACGGATCTCTTCACAATCCTGAGAACATCTGAACGGGGGCACGCATCGGCAGCAGAGTATTGATCGTCAGAATCTGGCAAAGAGCAGATACTGTCCACGATCCTGGAGGCTAAGGCCTTGCAAAGGCCTCCGGGGCAGGCCCTCTTGGAGGCCGTGCGAAGGACGCCGTGGGGGAGCGTTCCCAGGAGAGTATGGTGGGCGCCCTTCCTGCGCCTGGCGTGTCACAGAGACGACTGGGCAAAAACTGGGCATACGCACCGATAGGATACAATTGGGCGCGCGTCCGGCAGTGGACGTGCAGACTGAACTATCTCAGGAGCGAAAGAAGGACGTACACGTACATGAATCCACGTTGGTTTCGAGAGTACGCATTGCGCAAATGTTCGCATAATGCGGCCAGTCTCGCAGATCGAGGGGCCGTGTTCATGTACATAGCTGGGTGCGTACGTCCTTTGTGGGCTCCCTACTATCTTGATGCTCGCACTGGCGGCGGCGAGAGTTTGCGTGGGGCCCCAACGAAAGGAGGTAGGTGCACCAGGGGCCCACAGAGCGGGGGGTCAAGTGCTCGAGCCAGCCTCCAGTGCCGGCCCTGAGGTGTTCGGCTAAAAGCCTGGCCAACGCAGAATTAGCCTGACGAAAGACTCAACCATTTGCAGCTGCGAGAACCGCGAGGGAGATGAGACGAAGGAGGGTGGCACGCGGAGCAGTGCGGGCAGGGGGGGACGAATGGGTGGGACGTGTGCGGTCTTTCGGTGGAACACGCTATGATGCCACGAAACGCTGTACTGGGTGTGGCGGTGGAGCTCCCTATGGAGCCACGAACGGCTGTACTGGGTGTGGCGGACGCATGCGGGCACCCCCACTGGGGCCTTCGGTGGAGCTCCCTATTGCGCCACGACGCGTGTGAGGGGTGTGCCGAAATGGTGGACATGCGGTGAGCAGATGCGGTGAGCAGAGGCAGGGATGGGTTCAGGGAGGAGGGAGGAGGGGGCGGAGGAGGAGGTGAGGAGGAACGCTGGGCGCTGTCTCTTCAAACAAAACGAGGACCCAACACATGATGGTTGGGAAACACATTGAACCTATTCTCACTTGCTCTCAGACTGTCTCCACGAGATCGACGGCATACCCCAAACCTGTTTCATAAACCTGAGGGGGGAAGGGCCACCTCCGTGTTACCTAGCAGCAGACCAGGTTTCACAAGGTGGCCCTCTCCCCGTGTTGATCACTCGATGACACCTCACGTGCTCAATACTCCAAGATGGTGCTTTCTCTAGTCAGGTCTCCACGGATACTGTCCACAGCAATGTTCACGCTGAGCACGACGATTTCAATGCAAGGTATATTAAGGGAATATTCCATATGTAATTGTACGTCCTCTCTCCGCCGATGTCCGCACAGGAGGTTGAGCACGAAAAGAGTGCTGTGATGTATTATCATGGGGATCTCCTCGGCCGCCACGCCCGTGTATTCGCCTGGGCTGAAGAGGAAGAAGGGAGCTTCTCTCTCGGAGGCAGGCGGAGCGGGGTCCTTGGCAAGCACAGCGTGGACAGCTTCTCTCTCATCAGCCGGCATCGGACAAGTAGTCCGATTCCAGCAGCGCTGCCTGCGCCTGCTCTGGAGACAGAATTAGCGCGAGGCGCCGTGCTGGCTGTCGAGCCCCCTTGAGCCCGACGAGCAGGCTCGTCGGTGCGCCATCTGCCAAAACAGGCATTGCGTTGCCTGGCGAGACGCTGTGCCTCCTGCGTCAACAAGGGCTCCCTCGAGGGCGCGAAGTTATTCGCGCTTCGCGCTTCGCGGTCCTCGTTCCTTCTCCCCCTCCTCCTCGTCCTCCTATTCTCCCTTTGGGAGGGCGGCGCGAGAGCGCGAAGTTATTCGCGCTTCGCGCTTCGCGCAGCGCGAAGCGCGAAGTTGGGAGCCCTAGGTCAAGTTGCTCGGCGTCTTCCCAAGAACAGCGAGAACTTCCAACCGGGGTAAAACACGTGCCGGTGGAAGCCATCCTGGAGAGACCTGCGCCCACAGGGCGCCCATCTTCAGGATAGTGATGCTCGTGGTCCCCGCCTGCAGAGGCCCACAAGGTAATGCCTGGGAGAAGCAGGGGAATCGCGACGTAGAAGTATGGGTAAGCATTGATCCCACTGGGTAGTCATGCCGTAGGTGGTTGACGACCGAAAGTGGCGAAACCGCAGCGATTCAAATCTGCTCGGAGTGCCCACTGACCAAATAGATACCACAGCACATCGAGGGGAATCGAAAGCAAGATGCGAGGTTAAGGCCGAACGATGAGCGAAAGACTGGCAGCAAGTGTAGCACGTGTGGGAGGCTCTTTGGACACGACGTATCATATCGATTTTGGTGTCATGTAGCCGAAGAACGTGAGTACGAAGGCCACGAGCTTTGTCACAGGACGCTGAGCACCAGATGCGCGGCCAGACTTGGGCCTCCACAACCTCTCGCTGCCGCCGAGGATGGGATAAGCTGTCCCATGCATGTGGGACTCCAGGAGGAGGGATGGGGAGGGAGGGACGGAGGGGGGAGGGAGGGAGAGAGGGAGGGAGGAGGAGGAGGAGGAGGAGGAGCAGGGAGGAAGGGCAATCTGCAGCCCCAGCAGGTCCGTCAGTGATGTGGAGTACTGAGCTGATGTTATACGCTACGGAGAATCTCGCTATGAGACGACCGACCATGGTAGACGACACCAGCAGCCTCTACGCCATCTACTACGGCCTCTCCCAGGAATACGGCAATCCCCTCGACGATTTCGTAACCTCCATTTTGGGCAGTCTGCCCCAGCATGAGGTCGGACGGCAGCCTGCTGATCCGACGACCCGAGCTGGCCGTAACATGGCCCATGACGGTCGAGACAGACGCCCACCACGGCAAGATGGCCGTAGCGCTCAAGGTGGCCGCCAACCCCATCCTGGACGCCCCCTCGAGGGCGAGGGGGGGGAGGACACGGTTAAGGCCTGACCGACCTGCCGCCGCCTGCGTGCAGGCCGTCATGGGGGTGGTTTCCCTTCCTCATCAGGCCTTTAATGAGCCCCCTCCTCCTGCTCCATCTTGCCACCCCCATGCGGCCTCTCCGGGAGCCCCCCCGAAGGAGGAGCAGATCCGCTGCACTTAAAGGCCCCTTAAGTGCAGCGGGCTGTCTTGGCCTCCGGGGACCCCCCCGAAGGAGGAGCAGATCCGCTGCACTTAAGGGCCCCTTAAGTGCAGCGGGCTGTCTTGGCCTCCGGGAGCCCCCCCCCCCAAATTTTTCTCGGCCCTTTTCGGCCCCCGCCCCTCCCCTTGCGAAGCCTTGGCGGCTTTCCCCTTGTCCTCCTGGCGGGGGTCTGTGTCGGGGGGTGGCCCCCCCTACGCGCTTCGGGCGCGCGCGTGTAGCCCCGGCCGCGCGGACGGCTGCGTCCGACAGGACATCGAGCCGATAGCGATAGCGATAGCGATAGGGAGGAAGGGGAGGGAGGACCACTTCAAAACTATCTCGCTCGGCAGCCTGCGCAATTGAACTTCTTTGTAGGTGCTGTGTGCGGGCCTCGAGCCCGGCTCCGACAGTGCGTTTCCATGCTGTAGGCGAGCGCCCGGCCACTTGTTCCCATGAGCGCAAGTCTTGTTCTGGCAGAGGTAGCTGCTCAAGATGCCGCAGATGCCGTTGGAGCCATGGGAGATCTCCCAGAACCATGTGAGCCCAGGACTGTGAAAACTCCCCGAGACTGTCGGGCGTGTCCCCCTACAGGGGGACTTTCGACGAAAAATTAAAAATACGCCAAAAATACCCCCAAAAGGTAAAACAAAAATAAAAAAATAGTCCCCAGACTATGTTTGGAGTATTTTTTGATTATTTTGGGTGTATTTTTTATTTTTCGTCGAAAATCCCCCTGTAGGGGGACAGGCCCGACTTAAGACTAGTCACAACCAGCGCCAAACTGCGGGGAGGACCCGGTGACAACAGGCGGCCGAAGAGGCGAAGCTTGTGAGCAGAAAGAAGAGCATAAGCCGGTGGTCGCCCCATCGCTGCAAGCACTGCAAGACTGTTGACCGCTGTGGCACCACTGCGAGGTGGGCCGGCAACAGCCCGATAGTACCTAAGCAGACTGTCCTGGAGTCCTGCAAGGGCCTCCCACGCAGTGGCCCGATAGAGCCTTCCAGAACCAACCAGGGAATCCAAGAACACCATAGCACCTTTAGTGCAACTAGCCACACGATTGAAAACCCGATTTCTCAAAGCCTTCCAGGCCGTTTGGCAGCTGTGTTGGTGGTGCG